TCACCCTGCCCCCATGTTCCAGAGGACGTGGCTCCCATACATGATCATTTTCTATACATGTGTGTCTCTATACAAATAGTATATTTTCCATGTGTTTAATATTTAGATAAAATAGCATTATATTATATACATCATTTTGTATTTGTTTTTTTCTCTCAACATTGCATTTGTGAGAATTCTTTATATCCATACATGCAGAACTGACTCATTCATTTTAACTGCTACGTGATATTCTGCTATGTAAGTAGTTTGTCCATACCTTTACTGTTAGACATTTGGGTTGTTAGTCAGCTTTCCATCACCATGACAAAATAACTAGGATAAGCAACTGTGAAGAAGGAAAAGGTTTTTGGCTCATGGTTTCAGAGGCTTCTGTCTCTTGGCCTGTTGCTTTGGGGACTGCAGGAAGCAGTACACCATGGTGGGAGCATGTAGCAGGAGAAACTGTTTACCTCATGACAGCCAAGAGGCAAAGAGAAAGACAAGCAGAGATTGGGACCCAATCAATACCCGCCTTCAAGGGCACATACCCAATGACCTCACTTCCTCCCACTAAGCCCTACCTCTTTTTTTTTCTTTTTTCTTTTTCTTTTTTTTGGAGTAGGAAAAATTTATTGAGAGAAAGAAAGCTTCTGTGTAAGAGAGACAGAAAGGGGACCAGAAAGTGAGTTGACTGCCCTATCTCTTTTTAAAAAAATATTCTATTTAGTAGTACTTCTTTGCAGTATATAATGATTACATTCACTGTGGGGAAATATTTCACTATCTCTCAAGAGTAGGGCAACTGGCGATCAAGCCTTTTAACATATGGGGTTTTAGAGGTCCCTTATCAAAACGCTAGCAGGTTGTCTACACTATTTTTCTAGGATAATGCTACAATGAGCATCCTTGCATATGTCAGGACACAGGTTACCTTTTCATTTTTTATTGAGTTTTGGCAAATTATTCTCTAATGTGGTTATGCTAATTTTACCAGCAACCTTCCTGTGATGATACCTCCTGTATAAACACTTAAAACTACTTAAAGTTACTAATATTATGTTATGTTCAATGTTAGTCTTTAACATGTTAATCTCATTATTACTTACTTTGCATTTTCCATACATCCAGTAAGGTTGGATTATCTTTTTACACTTGATCTTAGCCAAAAGGCTGAGAAGCGATGCATTATCTTTTCATAAATTTGTCTGCCATTTGGATTTTTATGTCTATGAATGCTACATTCTTTGCTCATGTTTTATTTCTTATTGTTTTGCTTTTATCTCATTGACTTATTGTATCATATACATATTCTTAATCCTTAATTCATTAATTATCTATAATCACATTCATTGGTCTTTTTCTTGCTTTTATATACTAGTTCTTATGCCTTTCATTTCATAGATTACCCAAAATGTAACCTATGAACCAGCAGCTGAGAACACGTTAAAAATGTAGATTCCTTAGATCTACTCTACACCTGCAGAATAAGAATGTGACTTTTTTGTGTGTGGTACTAGGGATTGAACCCACAGCCTTTGCACTGAGCTACATCCCTAACCCTTTTTCACTTTTTATTTTGAGACAAGTTCTCATTAATTCGCTAAGTTACCCCAGCTGGGCTCGGACTTCTGAGCCTCCTTCCTCATTCTCCCAGAGTTCTGGGAATACAGGTGTACACCATGACACCTGGTTAAGAATCTCACTTTTACCAAGATAACTAGGTGATTTGTATACAAATTAAGGATCTTAAAATACTGGGTCAAATAATTAAAAAGCTAACAAATGTGCCAAATTTTCTTCTTCAGGGTAGAAGCACTATAGACTCTACCTGCCTTCTACTTCTTTTTTTTTTATATAAGTAAAACTCCCTGGCTTTGGATCTGTGAGTTCTCAGCTCATATATCCTAGACCAGCACTAAAAAAAATCATAAATCACAGAAGCCATTAGAGCCTGCTTTGTAAATTTGGGTGTTTTCAGGATTTAACATTGGAATTTTCAAAGAGCAGACACCTCTGTTTATCTGATTCCAAACATAAATAAAACAATGATGACAGTGCATTTTAATATAGCTCAAAATGTAAACCGTGGAGGTTTTTATGAATGCTGTCATGAAAGAAATGAAGTCAGCTAGGAAGCATAATCCATCACGTCTTCCTTGTTCATACATGCCTCTATTTTTAGTTAAGACAAAATGCTCCAGCAATGAATAACAAATAAGATTAATAGAGGAAATCGCCAAGGCTTAAATATGTTGTAGGATATGTGACGACTTCCGTGTATCAACATGATTTCCTGAGAAGTATCTGAGCATTTGGCCAGGCATGCAGTGAGCATCAAAAGAGCACGACTGCATTGAGTCATAAGGAAAATTGTACCACGGAACACCCTGCCTTCTCCAACACGATGTAGTGACTCCACAGGCTGAAGCCATGTGACTGCAGGGATTGTGGTGGAAGTGTCCAAAAGGACTCTCCCGTATTTCCAGTCCCCCAGTAGAACATACAGGCTCATAACTCCAGATCTGGTTAGTGGGTTTTCAGGAGAAACACGTCACTAGTGGCCTGAAACTTTTAATTTCCTGCTCCTTCTCTCTCTTTCTTGCCCTGCTACAGCAACCAAAGAGGTCACGCATTGTATATGATGTGGCTACACGGTAGTTGAACCTTTATCAATATCCTGGGCTCTTGTATAACCAGGTGGAGTGGTTCCCCCCATTAACTCACACTGGACATGTAGTATGAATGACAAAGAAAATTCTTTGTTTGTGTTAAGTCACAGATTTGAGTGCTTGCATTGTAGCATAGTCTGAGTTTTTCAGACTAATATAGTTAGCCTAGCCAACTCATTAATAATAGATCAAACTATTGTGTGCACCAAGTTGTAAGTTTTACATGCATTACAACAACCTTCTGAGGTGGACAACAGTATTATCATATATTATAGGATATGTATCATGTAGGGCTATATCATAGCTATATGTATGACATAACTCTAAATCATATATATTAACAATATGTAGATATCATCTGTCATAGTTTATATCTAGATGTCTCCCAGAGCCTCATGTGCTCATAGGCGGGGCTTTTGGAAGGTGATTGAATCATGGGGGTGATATAGCTGATTTGCTATTAGGAGGTGGGGTCTGGTGAGAGGTAGGTCACTTAGGGAGCGATCTGGAGGATATATCTCTCCCCGGCTCCTCCCTTCTCTCTCTGCTTCCTGGCTGCTGCGACACAAGCAGCTTTTTGGCTCTACTTTGATGTCTTGTGTGTTCAAGGCTGAATTCATGTTCTCTGTACCCCATCTATCTACCTCCAGCCTCCTCTGCTCCCTCCTCAGTGTCCTCCATTTCCATAAATGGTGCCACCTTCCCCTTATTTGCTTATACTGAAAGCCTGGAAGTATGGCTACAACAGTACCTATGAGAGTGCTCAGCATTAATACGTGCTTTAGTATATTCTGAAATGTAGAAATAGCAAATGAAATCATATCATAACTACAGCAAGTCTTTAAAAATTCAGATTTTTCCCATAGTGACTTTTTTGATCCTCTAAGGATGAATATCCAATCCTTTTCAACAATTTAGGACCCCCTCTTTTGCCATTGGTCTAAGAGTTTTTTGCTAGTCCGGCAATGTCTAGGAGTCAATAATTAGACATCACTTCTTCTTGATTTTGCTACCTAAAATATTTTCAAATGTGATTGGTTCTTCTGGTGCCAATGCACCGCACTCCAAACCAGGCGGGCCACTTACTTGTCTAAATACCTGCAGTAGCCTTTGCCCCCAAGTCACTGCTCCAATTCACTCTCCACAAAGCCTGGCAGAATCATCTCAGGAACACACGTAACTGATCCTGTTCTTTCGTTCTACTGCTAAAACGCAATGATTTTCCTTTGTCTTTAGGATTAAAATCTCAGATTTCTCAACAGGCCCCAACTCTGCCACCCTACCTGGGGCCAGCTTCTTTCAGTTCTTGGAAAGAACCAAGTTTCTTATGTGCCTTTGCACACAATTTACTCTGCTCAGAGTTCTCCCTCCCTTTCAGCCTCTCCTTCAGTTCTCAGACTTAATGTCCTTTCTTTAGATACGCCTTTCTTAACATCATACCCTGAGTCAATGCTCCTTATCAAACACTTTCTTAGTACTCCTTACTTTGCTTTGTAAGGAAATGATTACGTGTGCAATGGCCAGTTTAACCTCCCCTCATTGTTGTAAGGAAACTTCCTGAGAAAGAGTTGGTAACACACTCTAGTACATATAAGTAATGCAGGAATCCCTGAGCCCAGCTGTGTGTGATTCTAGAGCTCTTGATCACAACTACCACAGATATATAAATCTACTTTTCTAGAAAGACAGATTTTTGCCTCCTTATTTTATGATGGTTAAGTGATGATGCCTGGGGAACCAAGGCTTGACTGGAAAAATAACAATATTGCTGAGCAAATTTTATACATCTCAGGTTTTTCTTTTTCTAGGAGGATATAGGCAGGCAGTTCAGACCATAGGCTAAATAGTTGAGCTGAGCTCGACTCCTATAATCCTGATGTATAATACTGTATACACAGCTGTAAATAAGGGTGACATGAACCATCTTACATGGTTGTAAAGCACTTATTTGTTCAATATCTATTTAATGGGCGGGCATCTAAGATAAGATATACTAGGCCTCAGTTGGCACTCTGGGGATACAAATGCAAATTGGGGCACAAAACCTTTAGTAGAGTGCCTTACTCATTTAATGTTACAGATGGTCACTTACAAATGTTGTCATAGCTGTGTGGATGATTGCATGTGCCACCAAGCTGAAGTGAGGGCCGTATGTGAGAGCCGTGACTTCCGTCATTATCCAGGTCGGGGTCCCAGTAAACGAACTAGCCTAAGAGCTGGCGCTCCTATCACAGCGCGACGTGGACTGGCCGACCCTCCCCTCCGGGCCGCCAGAGGGCGCGCGATCCTCACCACCCCGCCCGCTCTTTTCGCTCTTCCTGAAGTGGCCGCCACGCCTTGTGCCCTAACGCTCCGCCTCTGTTACCCCTAGCGGCTGTTTGTTGACTTCCGGGAGCTCCGTAGTAGCAAATGCCAGGAGGGTGGCAGCGGGGGTCTCCTAAGCTTCCGCGGCCCCGAGTGGGGCTGAGGTCCTGCCCTAAGCCCCACCGAGCCGCCCTTGCCGTCTTCCCGGCCCAGGCACACAGTCCGTGTATCACCCGCGGCATGGGGGAGCCCGAGGCGCTGGTGCCCGGTGAGTCGCGCTCGCGGCCGTGGCGACGGGCCGGGAGGGACGGTCCGCGGGCGGGCAGGCGGCCAGGCCCCGCCCCCGGGCCGGCCCCGTCGGGGTCAGGCGGGAGCCGCAGGACCGAGGCAGGCGCTGGGGCCGCGCCTCCGCCGGTAACTGAGGGGAGAAGGCGGGAGCCAGCCGACGGGAGACGGCAGCACGGGTTCCCGTCTTAGGATTTCGACCAGTTTCTTGAAGGCGGGGCGCTTCTTACCTCAGTATAAACTTCCCAGAGTACCAGCTTCAGGCTCGAGCACTTTGGAGGCTCCCGGGACCCAGTCGCGTAGTGAATATAGCAGTAAAGTCTGGCTGAGCAGGGAGTGTGAGGAAAACGAAATGGGAGAAGCGAGTTGCAAAAAGGAGAAAAGGGAGATTTTGGCGAGTATTTTCTTTCTTGCTGCCTTTCTTCTTTTTAAAGACTTTCCCCATGAGCTCTACAGTTTGAAATGCATTTGACGTGGTGACCCGATAAGCGCTTGAGTATTGTTAACAGATGTTTCGCGAAGCGATACTTGTTACCGCCGCTTGGGATGCGCTCAAAGCATTTCTATAGTACATTCGGTTAAAAATGTTCACCGTGACCTGCCAAATTGATTTTCTGACTCGCTAATTGGTCACGACCAACAGTTTGAAAAAACGCTGCGTTAGAACAACCTTATACATTTATTAAAATATGTATTGTGTTTTCTGCCGTGCTCCTGACTCAAACACAATTAGATTCCTGCCGCCCGGAGTTCACACCTTAGAAATACACGAAAGTAAATAAAATGATAGTACGGTTTGACAGTAGATACCAGGGGACCAGAGCGGAGCCATCAAACCCTGGCTTGGGATGAGGGTATCAGAGGATTCCTGGGGAGCCAGGACAAAACAGTTAAAATGATTCATTCTGGGGAAACCTTGAGCCTGTTCTAGAGCCTATCTCCCCACTCTCAATTATTAAATTGAACTGCATTGCCTCACAGTGGTTCTCAAAAGGTTCTCCATAGTGTCTAACCTCTTGTACATTGATTTTTTTTTTTTTTTGGTACCGGGCTACATTGATATTTATTGTTAGTATTCACTATGTTTTCCTTTCTGTTACCAAGTAATTTTTTTTATGTGACATTATCCTTGGGACTTCCTCCAAAGCTGGATCTGGTTTCCTATTTGGGGTGTGTGTGTTTAAATAATTATTGGGAACTGGTACTTGGGTTTGTTTTTGCTATCTTCAAAATGGTACTGGGGACGAAAAAAAGTTTGTATTACTCAGATCAAGTAATGACCTAATTTAAGAATATTAAATCTCAGCATACCTCTTCTCTAACCTCCTGGAACCCTGGCACTTTGTGATGGTGTTTAGGGGGAACAAAATACTGTATACCATCCTTTCCCTTACAGAATTTATAAAGAGGGAAAACTGTACTACATAAGATAAGAGTGAAAAGCTTCCTGAGTGATTCTATTAAGAGAATTCCTTCATTTTATACTGAATTCCTAAGCTGAATTTCTGGTTCTCAGGAGAAATACAGTATTAGGAAAGTGAATTGCTTTTGTATTGAAGACTTGGATAATCTGCCATCTTTAACATTAAAAATGTTGAAAGTTTTATTTGACTACCTACTCACCATTATGATGACCTGAAAACAGTTATGAATATATGTATCTGTTAAGAGAGAACTTTTCTATGTAAAAAGTAGAAGAGACATAAAAATAGCAGGTGTTTATTAAAGGGTTACTTTGTCCAAGGGCGTATGGTAGTGAGGACAGTTTACACTATCAGTAACTTTAAAATACAGTTGGAAAAACAAAATATTTATCAAACTATGATAGTAGATGAAGAATTTACAGAGGCAGATATGAGCTGACCTGTTGGGAATGATAGCATTGAGCTAAGTTTTTTACACATATCATTTCATTTAATCCTCAACAACTATGAGACTCTTGCAGCCACATGTTTATCCAACATAGACCATAATCATTGAGGAACTGATGGCTTCTTAAAGTGACCCGTTTAGGATAACATAGCTAATTATTAGCAGAGTAATAATTTGAATACATTATTGCCTTTAAAGCCTTTTTTTCTAGCTGCCTTCTCATAGTGCAAATGAAAGAGGTAGTTCATGAATAATTTGTTTCTCTCTGTCCTGCCCCTAGTTTTACAGGTATTCATTGAGATAATCAATAAAGAAATAGCTCACCATTTAGGGTAACATTCCTTACCTTGCATAATAACACTGACAGTGCCTTGGAAAAACTGACCAAAGAAAATCCAAACTGACTTACATAGATCTCCCCATGGGTGCCCTGGTGAAGAAGCTCGGTATTGTTCTATTCCTGAAGGTGGAAAAGAGCTCTAAGTCAGGACCCAGACCATGAGATGTTAACCAGAGTAAGTAGAGCACAAATTGAACCAGGTCATTCCAGGGATCAGATGTCTACCTGATGACAGTAGACCTATTAGTTGTAGATGACTTTATACCTACAAATGAATAATACATGTTCAATTTAGTAGATTTTATAAGTCAAACTAGAATGAAGTCTGAGCTGGGGAGAAAGACTGAATTAAGGTGGAAGATGGAAAGCATTTTTAAACGGTGTTCAATGAAGCAAAGCTGTCATGAGATAAGGCATTAACATGGCTAAATTGCTGAAAGCATATTTTAATAACAGCATAGTAAAAGTTCTAAAATAGAAACTGTCTTACATTTGCAGATTCGGGTGCTGTGTTTACATTTGGGAAAACCAAATTTGCTGAAAATATGCCTAGCAAATTCTGGTTTAAGAATGACATACCTATGTATCTTTCATGTGGAGATGAACATAGCGCTGTTGTTACAGGTTAGTATTTACAATCCTAAATGAGGACAATAATAGAGAATCTTAAGTGTTATAAATGTGCTATTATGTTTTATGTGTATGTTGAAGATAGCTTCTTTTACTGTATGAGAGAATTCTTCACAAATTGATTCAAGAGACTCTTCAATTTTAAGTTACCTTAGTATATTTAAATATAATTTTCTATATATACAGCTTTCTTGTAATAAATCTATTTAATTATAATAAAAAGTGCTATTGTATAATCTTAGAAACTCTTTACACCTCATAAAATCCAGCCATATGTAGATGGACAGGGTAACCTGTTTCAATGGAAAGAAGAAATCACTTTTTAAAAAATAGAGCGTTTTTATTGCATTATGATGACTTTCTTTCACAGTATTTATGTGATGAATGTTTCAATTTGTTATTTTTTCTTCCCATTAGGAAATAATAAACTTTACATGTTTGGCAGCAACAACTGGGGTCAGTTAGGATTAGGATCAAAATCAACTGTCAACAAGCCAACGTGTGTGAAAGGTTTGGGGTCCTTTCTTTATCACTTTAAATACTTAACAAACTGCATAAAGTACTTTTATGCTGATTGTATAGTTTAATGTCATAAATAATAAAGTTTTTAGTGTTTTGGTAAGATTTATTTGGACATTAGTAGCATTTATTCTTTATGTGAAATTCAGATCTATTTTTATCATCTAAAAAGTCACATTGACTTTAATCCTGTGGACCACAAAGGAAGTATTGATTCTACAGTATTGCATTTGAATATCTTTTTTTTTTTGCCTATTTGTAAAAGCACTTAAGTATTACTGTTATTGTGTATATAGAAAACAGACCTTATAATTTGCTAGAATTTGAGATCTATCTCATTTATATCATAGTTATATGCAGTTTCTAGTTTTATAAAACATACTTTATCCTGCAGTAAGTATATAGTGAATAGATGAACGGAACAATCATCGAGACTAAGGGTTGATTAGTTCTAGTGTATAAGAGTAATAGGACAAAATATTTGAAATCAGCTCTGTCCCAGAATATATGGGATGTATAATACCCTTACAAAATTTTCTCACTGTTAAATGCAAATCCTTTGAGTATAGCCTACATCAACTAAGCAACTCAACATCAACTAAATTTGAAGGCTATGGAAATGCCTTGGAATATGACAACAACAGTATATCCTATTTGTCTGGTCAAATTTTAAATTTCAGCTTAAAATTTTAGTGTGAATTTATCATCTATCCTATTTATAGGTGTTGTTATAGGAGTTTTGAGGTATTCCACATGGTCAAAAAGGTATTTGTTGAGCACCAACTGCCAAATATTTGTGGGTACTCGTGGTGATCATGGGTCTTATTTTCAAATATCTTCTTTAATAGACAGGGTAACGGGATAGTCTATACTATCTGATCCTTGAGAACAGACACTCTTAGTCCTCTGTGCAGACGCTATGCCAGCTACTTAGGAAATATTCTAGAAATATTTTTTGAATGTGTAGATGAGTGAATGAACAATTTTGACATAGGTATATGTTTATGACTGTTGGACTTAAAATTTTTCATTAAGTGTGGTAGATGGTGAGCTTGATAATGGTGATGGCAGGTTAGGTAAAGGATCACATTGGTGAGGAGGCAGCACTATAGGATGTAGTGGGTCTCACCACATATTACCTGATGAGTTTCTGAAAATATACAGATGTCTAGGTTCTATCCCACACTCAATGACTCACTCTTTCCAAAGCTTCACTGGTTATTATGATGCACAGCTAGTCCTGATAACCTCTGGTTAACTAGTTAAGAATATCAACTTTGGAGTCAGACAAGCCTCAGTTTTGGGTTTGAGTGTAGCCTAGTGGTAGAGTGCAGCCTTAGCTATTCAGATTCCTGAGTTCGATTACCAGCACCATGATACATAAATAAACCTCAGTTCTATAACTTAATTACCATTTGACCTGGATTACTTATCATTTTCATATCCATAAGCAACTTTAATTGTCATATTATTTTAATTTTAGCTCTTAAACCTGAAAAAGTACAACTTGCTGCCTGTGGAAGGAACCACACCCTAGTTTTAACAGGTATGATTTCAACCTATATGATCTCCTGTCTGGCATCAAAAACTGAGGTCTTTTTCCAGTAACATTTGTGGCTTTGTAAAGTTAACAGAAATGGTGCCTTGGCAGTAGTTAGATTAGGGTTTTAAAAATGTAAATATTTTTTATATATATATATATATTTGCCTTTGTAAATATGTAGATAAATCTTAAATGACTGAAGAAAAACAGTTTACAGCTACATAAACTGAAAATTTTAGATCTATACTAACAAATGTATTTTGTATTTAGTTTTATTATAGTACATGAAACAATTTTAGACTTCGTGCTTCTTAACTAGTGTTAATGATTACCATTAAGTCTTTTATACTGATTACTCCTATTGCTCTTCTCTCTTTGCTGAGAATGACTAGAAGCCATGCAAAGGCTATGTGAGTCCCATCAATTAGAATAAAAATCCAAACAGGCTGTGTGTCTGTGTGTAGAAGTTCATAAAGTAATTCTAAAATTTATCTGGAAAATCAGAGGACATAGAATAGCTAAAACAGTTTTGAGAAAAACAACATTGGGAGACTGGCACTACCTAATTTCAAGACCTATAAAGTAATTAAGACAGTGTGGTATTGGCAAAAGATAAAAGATTAATGAAACAGGATAGAGTCTAGAAATTGACCCAAATATACGTCCCCAGCTGATTTTTGAGAAAGATGCTAAAGTAGTTTGTTGGAGAAAATAGTATTTTCAACAAATGCTGCTGAATAGTTAGTAGTCCCTGACCCCTGAGAAGTCCTTGTTCACACTCCCTACCCTACCTGCCCCCAGCAACTTCCATTTTCAAACTGTTCTCTCTGCTTTGGCTCCTCTTCATTCTTTCCTTACTGTTAATAGAGGAAAGATGGTATACACTGATTTATTTCCTAAAGAAGGTGACTATAGGATATTAATGTTTCTTTTCCTTGTACAGTAGAAGGCAGTGTATATGCAGCTGGAGGAAATAATGAAGGACAATTGGGACTTGGTGACACTGAAGAGAGAAACACTTTTCATCGTATTAGCTTTTTTACATCCCAGCATAACATTAAACAGCTCTCTGCTGGATCTAATACTTCAGCTGCACTATCTGGTGAGACTTGTTTTCATTTTAATTTGGGACACATCCTTTTCTTCAAACCAGAATATACCAACTCAACTCAAGATAGCATTGCTGTTTAGTTCTCTTTTACTGGCTGTGTGCTTTCAGAAGACATTTTAAAATATAAATTTAAGTCACTGTTTACTTAGAGTGAGATACAAATATACATTTGGGAGCTTATTGGTAAATAAATTTTAAGCTCTGCTGCCCATTTACTCCTTTAGATGTTCTTAAATATTATCTTCATTGCATGTTCTGAAAGTTAGTTGCAGCTTTGACTGAAGTTGCCAATGTTGTTAAAATATAGTTTGTAACAGTCATTGTATCTCTTTACTTTCCCTGTGAAAAGTACACAGGAGAACTTTTTAAAAAATATAGGCACTATGATCACTTTTATCTCCCAGAAGTTGCTGGTTTGCTGCTTTGTTGTTCCAAGCAGGGAACTATGTAAACATCCAGTGCTGCTCTGGACATCAGCAAAGTCAGAGTCGTATGTGAAGCTCTGTCTTTTAATTTCATCAAACATATAGTTAGGTTTACAATATCCTTTCAGTTATCAATTTATGTGTTTTATGATTAAGTAACTTCAACTTTTTTAAAAATTGAAAGGTAGAAGTAAATAAATATTGATAATTCCTTTATAAAATCTCTATCCTAGTTTTTCTATTACTGAAACTGTAACAGAAAGGACATTAAGTTAACATGTTTCTGAGCTGCTGTATGTGCTACTGTAATTCATTCTCAGAAGCTAGAGTCTGAGTTTTCAGATCTGAATTATAAGAAAAAATGTGACAGTGAAATACATTTATTTTTTTTCTTTCTTTTTAAAAATAATATCCAAAGTGTTCTCAGGAGCAAAGTTTGTTACTCCCTTTTGACCTGGGACTTTCTCTTTTGACTTGGAGATCTCCAGTGTGACTCATGTTCTTTCTCAGTTCAGTGGCAGGTAGGTATATTGCCTGGAAGAATGAAAACATTTCTGTTTAGAGACATTACAACAGAACAAGGTGATTGAGTCGCATGGAAAACACCGAATCAGCCCACTGCAGACAGGTCTGTGGACGCAGTCCCAAGGTCGCCAGTCGCACTGAAAACACCAAATTAGTCCGTGCCCTGGCAGCAATCCCCTGGATCCCCCCCTGCTCCTTTGGCCTCTTCTCTGTACAGCCACTTGGTTCCACGCTACAAAGATGCAGAGGACACTGGACCACCAGACCACTGTACTGGAGCTAATCAAGTTCTCAGCATTTAAAGAATTCCTGCCCAGAGGTAGGGGCTTCTGAACCGCCGTCCCACTGCTCCTGGTCCAGAGGAAGGGCCTGTCTGGCCACCATCC